GACCTGTCTACAGGTAGAAGTTTACAACAGTATCAAAACCTTGAGATGAAGGCTGCTACTGTATCTTCTCTGTAATACTACATTAGGTTTCCTTATATAAATATAAAATATTCGTTTGTTCCATAAAAGGTAAAACTAACTGAATATTAAAAATATATATTTTCAATATATCAGTGCTATATATAATGATCTAAACATTTTTGCTTAAATCATTCAAAGTAGCCCTAGCTGATGATATGTTACTGCCCTAACTCATGCACAGTGGCTTAGCTGAATAAATTATGAAGAGATTGTTTGTTTGTTTTAATTATGCACAAAGCTACACAAGGGCTATCTGTACTCTGCCCACCACGGTATCGAAACCCGGTTTCTAGCGTTGCAAGTCCTCAGACATATCGCTGTGCCACTGAGGGGCACATTATGAAGAGAAGCACATTCTTCATCTGCTGAACCAGGATAACCCCTATATACCACTTAGTTAAAACCTTCTGGTGTTAAAATACAGAGGACTAGTAGTTAACTCCAGTTTCCTGGGGCACAATCAAATGAAAATGTTTTCACATTCCTCTTGGATGGGATGCCAGTTCATTGAATGCAAACCCCTAACTTTTAGCTGATACCAATTTTAAAGAGAGATAGACTAATGCAAGTTATTGGAGTAGACATAGATAAGCTTTAAGTGTACAATCTTTCAACTACCAGTCCAAATTACTAACCACTAGGACATGTCACCTCTTATATGCTTAAAGTGCATGTTTTCATTTAGCTCATTTCATTTTATTGAAAACTGTGTACTTTTACTCACACAACAGAATTAAAAACTTAAAATTTGCTCTCTGGAAACATGTTTGTGTTTTGTAAATGCTGCAAATTGCAGTATCCCTGCATATTTGTGTGAAAACAGATATTACATTAGAACTGTAAACTCGTTTGTAGGTTTGTTGTTGCCCCGAGAAAGTTGTCTGTCTGTAAAGTTTCATTATCATGAGATTAACTGATCTGAAGCAAACACTCAACTTTTATTTACAAAAATTATGAGCCACCATTTTGTCAATAAACCTTCAGAAATATTTTGTCAGTACTTCTAATACACTTAAGTTTTCTTCCTAGTTTTTGTTTAATTAGTCATAAAATTTTCCATTATGAGTTTTGGAATTGTAATTTATATATATATATATGCAGGCTAAACAACCAGGTCAGGTCAGAGAACCCTAGGATGAAGGTATAGTCATCCATATCTTTAAACTACTGACCCCACTCAGACCAACCAGCCAGCAGCACTTATGGTCACAAAGGCTTTGAACTAAATTCTGGGTTTCACTGTTACTTTTATTATATGCTCAAAGCTGAAAGTCATGTTCAGTACCATTATGTCACAAATCTTCAAATATTTCATCCATGGTCTAACATACTAACCACCAGGTCAAATCTGACACTTTTGAGATTTAATAGCTATACAAATTTTTTAATGCATGGAATAAATGTATTGTTTCTGGTTCATCTTCTTGCAGTTTTCAACTCAAATTTTCCCCTTCTTTAACTGTAGTAAAAAACATCTTTATCCATGAATATTAAGTAATTTTTAAAATTATTTCCATGCAAGAGTTCTGTACTTAGTTAACACCCTTTTGAACAGGATGTAAGTAGTTATAAAGTAGTTTTAACCCTAATCTCAGGCTAAGCTTACCCATCAGTAGTCATTCTACAAAGTTTGCACTCACTTGGACAAACACCTGTGTCATCTCTCTCCCCAATAACTACATGTAGGATATACCCATGTGAAGGAGTGGTGCAGAGTTTTGTACAAGTTAGTATGAGCAGGGAGTTAATTTTCTTTTGATTATATATATTATGTGACTGTTCACTGGCACAGGTAGTCTAGAATTTTGCAATACTAAACTAAAACTGTTTTGATTTAAGAGTATGGTAGATAAAATCATCGTTGTCTTTGTGGCACAAAGGATTCTACTGCCTTCCTTAGCTCCTGCAACCTCAAGTCTTTTAATGATACAAGAGAAAATAACCAGTATTATCACAGTAATAACCCAATACAACTTGGTTTTCAAATATGTAAAAAAATATTTTACTTCTGTTTGAGTCTCTTTTTGTTTGTTTGTGTTCAATTTATTCTCTGCAATACACCTTTTAGTCCCCTGATCTTGGGAATTAAATGCCCATTGGCTCCAGTTTTGCTCATAATTTACTTTTTTTCATTGGGTTCATCATTAACATATTTTCAATAATTTATAAAATTATCAATTCTCATTTTGCACAAAGTAATAGTAACTGTAGTATTAAGATATCACCAAAATTACATTAATTATGCTTAAGTTTTCAATGTCAAACACCTAGTATACAAATATTAACGTTGTATTTATCTTCTACTGATCCCAAAAAAGATAAAGCTTGTTTCAGTGAATTTAGAAAATAAGGAAATCATTTTATTCATTGAAAAAAAAATTACAATAAACTTTATACACACTATATTTTCATTTTAAAATATGGCCTGCTGTATTACTAACTTGCTTTATTCAGATAACCAATATATTTACCAAAGAAAAATGCATTGCAAAACATAATATAAACATGTTAGAGTGGTAGGGTATATTTTTACATTTATTGTACATTACAAACATTGATCTAGTCTTTAAGCTCAAACAAAGTCATTACAAAAAATTAATCTACATATTTTGAAAGCTACATGTAAAGATTTATGAACTAGTTTACAAAAAGAAATTGACAGAAACAACATGAATACAAAGAAAACCTCATATTCAAAGGTATGCAGAGAATAATGAATTTTATTCAGAAAAGTCTGTACAAGATACAGAATATTTCAAAAACTGTTCAATATGCTTTCCACCTTTCTTAATTAGCATATCAAGCCTATCCCTAAATCAAGCTACTTCAATTATCATCTGGTTTGGACAGTGTTCATTAGTCCTCATTACATCCTGCACATTCAAACACATTTTATTCAAATAACCAATCTCATACTATTGAGATAGAGAGAAAAAGTATTACGAATATTATCAGTTTGCAAGAAAAGTGATATAGATATATATGATATAATGTGATTCTGAAACACTCCCATACCAGGCTCAATCTTTCCCAAATAAAATTTATGATTCTCACTGTGTCTTTGGTGAAATATGTTTCCCCATGGCTAGTAGTTTTTAAAATATAATAATTTTAAGTAACAAATTTTCTTTATAATTATCCTGTACATTTATTTTTTAAATAACAAACATCTCTTGACTTAATACAAAAAAACTAATTTATATCCAGATAAATAAATGAAAAATATTATAATTTGTCAATGGGCTTCAGGTTTTATTTTTAATAAAAGTCTGAAGTTCTGTTATTCCAGATTTTGATGTATGAAATTCACAGAAGGTAAGTGTGAAGACATATCTATGCTAACTACACAGAAAAGTTATATTAAATTGTTCCAGTTTAACAAAATAAATTGTAACTGAAAAAATAGCTTGAACCATATTTTTAAGTTCTAGTAATCAAGCTTGTGATAGTAGCTAATGCAACATTTTGCAAAAAATATCTAGCAGTAAAAATGTACTGCAGTGTAATGCGCAAAGAAAAAAACGGCATAACACTAAGTGACATACAGTATAATTGTTGTCCTATTTAGTCATCAGGATGTTAACTTCTGGAAATTGGTCGAGTATTCATAGTAGTTAAATTGAGTTTCACAATCCAGCAATAAATATATTACCCTTTTTTTTCATTCATTTTTAATATTAAGTGTCTCACAGCTTCACCTAGAGGCAAAGCACTGCCCACACATTACACATACATACAATCTAGTCATATACAACAAAATACTTTGCAGTCCCTGCAGAATTATGCATGAAAAATTAATAAATTTTGCATTCTAAAATTGCAAATTCTGCAACCTATTTTGGAAACCAGATATTAGTTGCAGATGTGTGTTGCTTTGAAGATTATGTTGTTTTATTGTTTAATGTGTGTAGTATTGTGTATTCAACTTCAAGTGTCCATTACTCCTCAGGAAATTCAATAAACCCTAGAAGTGGACTACCCATTGACCAATTATGATGTCCCTCACATCATATCCAGGACCACAGGAAGGGCTACACCTTTTGTAAAGGTTGTAGCACTTCTCCTAAAACCACCAAAATGTTACTAACTCAAGGTTCTTTTCTTTGTGTTTTTACATTTAAGAGAAGAAAAACCCTGACCAAGACAGAACAATTACAGAATTCTGCTGGGACTGATTATGGAAGCACATTATGTTAATACAATAGTAAACTGACCAACAATAGTTTATAATAATAATGAAAATGATTTTTAAGTAGACAACATACTACACGTTTCAACAGAAGACAACAGACCAATTTTCTGTTGAAACATATAGTATCATCTCCACATAAAGAAAAATTTATAGTTAAAAATCATTGTTCGTCAAGTTGGTATTTTAATATATAAAAACTCATTAACAAGAAAAAATACAAATGTAACTGTGACCAAAAGTGTATTTTTTACATAAACAAGTTGACAGATTTCATTATTAATAGGATTATTAACAGTTTATAAAAATATTGAAGTTCAACATACACAAAATAATATGTATTTGTTATTAATCTGTATCACTACATAGATGCAATATCATTAGAAAAAAAAATTATTAATATTTTTTTATTTCCAAAAATCATTCAGTAATTTATGTCTTTTCACATTCAGTAAAATAGAAAATGTAAGGTTTAAAATTTCCACAACAAAGTGTCTGCTGAAATTTATTACATTCATTAACAACTTTATATAAAATGCACAATTCTCTTCAACATGAATTTCCACAACTATAGATACACAATGGGCTATCTGCACTCTGTTCACCACAAGAAATTAAACCTCAGATTTTAAAGTCTAAGTTCATATACTTACAGCTTGCCCCACTGGGGGACTTATTTGAAACCCAATACCACATATCAAGCTTAGACAGCTATTGCTAGCATTACATCTATTACTGTTAACATTATTAAGTTTTTATTTTAACTAATAGTGATTTTTTTATTTTTTTACTTTTCAAACCACATTAAGAGCACTGTTTAAAATATCAAGATAACCTTAACTCTCGAAAATGTTTAAGTATTTAAGATATAATCTTTGTTGAATTTTTCTTTTAGTTCTTCAGTGAAAACTTGACAAACTATGAATTGAAACTATGTATATATTATACAAAAGTGCCTATTTCAACCATAACAGTATACCCTCAACTTTACACTGTATTACTTAGTTGTTTAAGAATGTTGATATTGAGTAAAATCTTTTGGCCATAATCCTAAACATTCAACAGTCATCTAATTTTAACTTAACTATGTTCAAAAAGTTTTTTTTATATTATTTTCTGTGAATCACTTTAACTCTGTTTACAATTTTCAAGTTACAGTATTTAATTTATAAATTTTGTTGTTATAATATTTTACATTTTTGAAAGAGTACTTGTATTCTCCTATTTTGTTGATTATGGACATTGACCCTCAATAAGTCAAGCCCTATCAATAAACACCCTCCAGAAATATCATACCTTACTGTTAAATTTACCCAATCAAAGTTCAATGTACCCTTGCACCATATTATATATATATTTGTAGTTTCAATTCATTCATTGTAGTTGACGTACCCGATGAATGCCAGGTTAACCTGGTGAAACGTTGTACTTTCATTAAATTTTACTCTGTTTATCTGATTTATCAAGTCTCAAAAGTATTAACTGCTGGTAAAAAGGTAAGACTATAATATTTAGTACTTTTAAGTTAAGCTAAACACAGTTTTTATATTTCAGTTATGTCAAGCAAAAACACAAAAAGTATTTTGTAAATAAGTAATATACACTTTGTATATTATATATTATGCATTTTCTTTATATCTATACCTGAAAAATAATATGGACTATCAGGCCATAAACCAACTAATGAGATTAAATTATTTCTAAGGACAATAAAAATATGCTCAAAAATAATTTATTCAAACCTAATTATTAACAAGAGGATAATTTGTTTTTGTGTTATCATTAGCCAATGGAGAAGCTGAATATGATGGATTATCTACAGTTGCAGAATTATATGTGCTACCACTAGCTGCAGGATTAACTGTAGACAATGAATTATGGCTACAAGCAGGATTAGATGGATGATTGCTAATTAAAGAATTTGATGTGTGATATGAATCTGGTTTGTTCTCAAGATAACCACTTGTCCCTTGTTGTTGAACTTTTCTGTCTTTACCTTTATCTACCTGCTCAATATAATCCTTAAGAACAGCTTTTCCTGTGTCTTTGGCAGTACGTTTGGCTATCGCTTTTACCCCTAAGGAGTTGAAATTGTATGTTGCATATGCTAAATTCCCTATAGACTGTACAGCATCACTGGCCACTTCACTAGCTTCTTTTCCATACCTAACAGTCACAAAATAGTCAGATTCAGTACAAGATCAATACTATTTATAGATAGCCCAAGTTCATTATAAATAAATCATTCACCTACCATCATTCTGTAAATATTTTGTACAAATTAAAATTTGGATCTAGTTACAGCAACCTATTAACAGCAACCATGTAAAAAAAAAATGAAAAAGTTTTATTTATTACTTAAGGTTAATCATCTCAGATCTCCTTGTTAACTCTCAAAGCAAATGTTTGAAAGTCAAATATTATAACTCAGTTAAATAAAGGTAAATGAAAACAAACACTGTTAAATTGAAATTCATAGAATCATATACAATTGAAATAAGTCTTTGGTTGTAAATCAGGAGTAAACTTCACAAAATAAAAGTTCTAGTACTCAGTACCAACGAGTACCGGCAGAATTTCACCTGTTATAAATTAACAAAGAATGATCTGCAAGTCCAATGATATAAAGAGCTATAAATGATACCTAAAGAAGATAGACCAAAGCACTGTTTTCTATAATGAATATAACTGTGCTTAAAACTTGTTGTTTGTTAATTTACTACTGTGTTAACAATGTGCTTCTCTACACAAGTAATCTCGTGGTTATTACGTTTCAAGATAAAAAATCAAAAATGCTGAAAATTTTCAACCTAAAATATGAATTATTAAAGAAGTCCCTTTTTTTAAATTAAAATTCTTTTAATACTGTTATTCATCAACATGGCATATATGCAAATGGAAACATTTTGATTCTGTATGCAGCTCAAAGTTACTTTGGCATTACTGTTTATGCATTTTTCTAAAGAAGTAAGCTTTCCATGTTACTTATGTATAATATGCAAAATGCAGCAATGTGTGAAGCCAAGTGATGTCATAAAACTTTAAGCTTTGGACACACATGCATGGTATCATCATGGCTGCCATAAATACTAAGCAGTTTCTGCTGAATTATTAAACATGTGCTTACTTTTTTTTCCCCATGTTATTTTGAGATGTACATATAGAAAAATATCTTTAGGTCACAATCACATACAAATATTATATACAACTGAGTTATAATTTATGAATGATTTTTCAAAGCAAAAGTTAGGCTATCAATATAACAATATAGTTAACACCACAACAATTTTTTTATTCTTTATCAAACCTGATAAATGATGATACAAGTAAATTTTTGTTTGCAAATACTTTGTGATATTACAAGGGTAAAACGAGCATCACTGTCATACTCCCAGATAAACCACTAAATATTACACATAAACATTTAATGCCATAATGCTATTATTAAGTAACCCAGGCTTCATTCAAATATTTACAAGTTTAAAAAGATTTTATTAGTATCAATTTATCCATTTCAACTAAATATGCAAGTTTGCAAAAATCACCTTCTAATTTTAACACCAAAACTTTGTACTTATGTTTACTATGTGACATTTTTATGCAACAAAAATTGATATAATGCATTTGATGCAATCAAGTTTTCAGCTTAACAGTAAATTTTGTAACAAGCTATCAAAGTTTTCTCAATACATAAACAAACATATATACATACATATATTATACATATATATCGAACCATGGTGTCTGTTCGACCATTTGTCTTTGTTTACGGCAGCCACTTCCTGTGCTACATTTGAAAAGCTGTGCACGCAGGCAAAGCTCAACATTCACTTTTGAAATGAAGGGAGAACAGGCATGAATAATGTTGATGAAAAAATTATTTTGCAAGCAGGATATTCTACAATAAGTCGTCAGGAATTAGTCACAGTATCATTCACATTTCAAAATGTGATGCAAGTTAAAGAAAAACAATCTAGATTTACCATGTTATTGTTGAGTGGCTCTTAGCATGAATGAAATGCTGAACAGTTACTTTTCACAGAGGTCTGTATCAGTAGCTCAAAGCTTTGGCTCTGATTGAAACCAAGAGTGCAACACAATTAATCTTTTTAAAGTCCATGAAATAATTTTAGTTGATAGATTAACTTAAACTTTTCCCTTCACAGGGGACAGGTACTTTTGCTAGAACAACTCTTTCAGCATGGGCTCGGTCCCATGGACCAACCTTGTAACCATTTTGTGCTTATTATAGTTTTCATGCTATAACTTTTAAATTAGCAAGTGTATCTTCATGAAATTTTGCAGATTATCAGTAAACATTACAAGGCTTTCTTAAGCAAAATATCTGTTGTTTTTTTAATTAAGTTTTGGATTTTTTTAAGTCATGTTTTTCTTATGCCTTGTTTCTTTTGGAATGTTGACTATCCAGCATGCAAAATAATTTTAAGTTTAGATTAAAAATACTTTTATGCATCAGAAAATTTTAAAGTTTCACATGTGATATCTTTATAACCTCCAGATAATTATCAAACATTTAAGAAAAAACTATATTTTCAATATCGAATCTCTGTATGGGTTCGGTCGATTTACCGACCTCGTAACCATCATAAAAAATTAGGAAATAAATGTAAATTGTGCTTTATTGTTCTAGAATGACTAAAAATTATAACAAGAAAACACTAGTCTATATAGCTTAAATCTCATAGCATTATACATTTATGTATATTTATTACTTTTATTATATTGACCTTTCAGTCGTGCCTGGCTAACATTACAGAAGTTTCAATGATGTGGCACCAATGTTACTATATCCAAAAATATAAAACTGATCTTTAGTCTCTACAAAGTGACCTGTCTTGGCTGTGTTTCAGTGGACTAGTATTTTGTAACACACAGTCACATTTCAGTTATAATACATCTATATTTACAAATAAGTTCTTAAACTTATTTTCCTTAAAACATTTGTTTGTTTATTTTGAA